TTTCAAGGTATCATATCAACACAGCTTGAGGAGCATTTCAGTTGTGCTACAGTGCTTAAAAGCCCGCTCTGTTGTGCGTTGTTTTTTCACATACACTTTAAGGCTTTGGACCAACAAACTACCAACACCACACTGACTGGGTTCAATTCAACAAAATGTGTAAAAAAGTTTCTAGTCTCTTGCCCACCCTTTACACTCTATGTTTGTTTGTCTGTCTGTCTGATACCCGTCTGTACATGTACATGCCATAACAGGACATTCCAAACAAAACACACAAATATACACACACTGTATGGAGCACAGTGGTGCATAATGCTACCACATGGCAGCTAAACATACGAGAACCATCAAAGGAAATGTGATCCAGCACCTCATTTTTTTTCCTCTGCTGTTCTAGAAAAGTATGAAGTGTTTTTATTTGGCCTACATCAAAACGGGTGTGACTGTGCGTACTGTGTTGAAAATCCCATAAATATTTTGACCTAAAACACATCTGCACCCTCCCTCACCTGTCCACCATGTTGGGGTCAGCATTTCTGGACAGCAGAAGCTCCACGCAACGTGCAATTTTGTCCTCACTGGCAGATGCCGTGCAGCTGGCCATGAGCACCGTCCAGTGATCTGTGGAAAAGAACAACAACAATTTTAAGAGTCACTTCTATTTTAATAAACATTTAGTTTAGCTCGGACTATTAAAAAATACATTAAAACCATATCAAGCTGGCACCAATTATACACATATAAAGATTGCCACTGACAATAGAGACAACATTTTTTGCTTATTTTGTGTCCTGCTCTTGAATAGAGAAGATGCAGACAGACTGCAGCTGACAAAATCCACCTGTGTGTGAAACTCATGCCAGGCACATTGTTGTCTGGTGTCGATGCAGCTGCTTGGACGTGCAACCAAAAAACACATCCTTGTTTGAGTCTAGTAAAGCTTTAGAGGAAGCATTAAGAATTATACTATATGGGTTTGAAAGCTGATTCACGTTTGGCTGATGCTCGTAATACCATGAAAAGATATCAAAGAAACAAAGCAGTTTCAGAATAGTCCAATTTTAGAGACCTCAAATACTACGTTATTGCATTGACAAAATCATTTTGAAGTGATTATTACATGGCCAGTTGCCCAGGCACATTAATGGCTACATTAATGGCTACATTAATGGCGGATGTCTACTACTACTAGGTTTTTAAATGTCTGAATGAATGTCACTATCTGCCCTTGATTTACTTTTGCCCTCACTCTTATTTTAAAAGACCAATTGCCACTATCCAGCATGTTTGCTTGGTCATGTTCCTCTTGTGGCCGTCTATGATAACATTCAGCTGCTCCTTCAGTTAGTCCCTCCACTGTCTCGAGAACATAGTACTGCTGCAAGGTGAAGGGCCACTCTAACCAGAACCTGCAACATGTGGATGCAGAGATCACCAAGCCTAGACTTAACAAGAACTACTGTCACCAGCTGCTGTTTGTGACGGTTCCTCCTGTGTGCCCCTCTTTCCGTTTCTCACTTTGTGTGTGATTTTGAACCTGTTCTAGATTTCTTCCTGTTATATTTTGAAGATAACTTCCCTCCTTTCCCACCGTTCTTCTTCCCACTCCTGTTAACTTCTGATTAAGTTCATCTGTTCCTTACATCCTTTAAATCTGTGTCTATTCCTTCAATCTCTGTCAGGTCATCTTATTTGCGTATTTGATATGCTTTTTCCCCCTTGCCACCACTCAGCAATGCTTTGGGTATTTTCACATGGATAAATAAAAAACCCTAATTGAGTCCCTTAAAATTAAACTTGGTTTTCAGTCAGTGTTCTCTCAACTACTGCCAACATTTTTGCTGTAATGAAAACTGCAATACTTGAATTTAAAAGTACCCTACCTGTTTACTGAATGGTTTCTTCTGGCCAGTAGCAGTGAAGCTCATGTTTTTGCACAGGACAAGTGTTCCTTCTGTCTCATGTTTGTTTTTGAAGAATTGTGTAGTTAAATCACTGTATTACCTCATGGAAAAAAAGGGTATGCTATGCTTCTAATTTATAATTACATTACTTGATTGATGATTTGCAGTGATATAGAAAAGGATAAAATATCTCAACCTGGATGGAGCAATGGAGACTGATAGCGGTTTTATCTGGCATCAGGAAGTGTGGCTGCTTTTATGGGCTCTTTGACTTAAGAGGATTTGTCTCCTTATCTTAAACTGATAAAAGTATTCTGAGACCTGTGGCAATGCTCTCAATTCCTGGTTTGTTCCGGTAATGAGTGACTCTCTAACTTGTGTGCTTCTAAATGCGTTTAGATGTTTCCCTGTATGTGTGTTTGTGCGCACAAATACCTAGGTCTCTACATCTGTATATGGGTTTCTGTGTCTTTGTGGCTGTGCATGTTTGGCTCCATATCTGTGTGTGTTTATATTATGTTCGTGTGGGTGTAAACCAGACTGCCTGGTTTGCGTCTACAGAGGCCTGGAGTAAATAAATCTGAGGCCTGAGAATAAGTGAGAGGGCATGACAGCAGCATGGTGAGCTTTATCAATCACTAATGCATTCCTCTGCTCAGCATCACTGCTTGGACAAATGCTATCAGGATCTGACCACACGTCAGCCCTCATCTACTCCATTTAATTGTTTCCTTCACCTGCCTGAAGCAGTGATTGCCAAGAAAACTGTGTGAAATCAGTCACACACAGTCCAACTCAGCATTCTGGACTGAGAATTAATTGATATCAGATATCAACACACTGACGAGTGCCATTGGTCTTGGGTCTGGGGACTTTTAGCAGACAAATGAGGGGTTTTCTTTGGTGGACACTCTGGGAAATTAAGAATGGAGTGATTTTAAATATTTTATAGTCAAACTGACAGGGATGGAGAGGAAAAAAGTTGCTGTTTTTATCTTAATCTGAGTAATTTTTAATTTTGGTATTTTTAAACTGAAAGCCAATCAGTTTTCATGGCTATTGTGTCTGCTGGTATTTGTGAGTGCTGATCAGAATAAGAAAATTCTGGAGTGTAATTTTTAAGGTTTGGGCAAAATGTACTGCATGTAAAATCACACCAGATAAACCAAGTGTGCTTGGTTCTATGCTTAATATTTCTGGCTAGTGATAATGCCTTTAGGTGAGTAACATAATTTATTTACAAGAAAACAGACATGAGAGATCTGATGCATTTATATTGTGGATGATTCGACTTAAGGCCCAAGCAAAGAAAGCAGGGAACTATTTAGGAATGATGACTACATCCATCTTTTCCTATAAAGACGATGGTTCAAACTGTGGGGAGAGTTTAATCTATTCCAAAATCTTTCATCAATACAAGCAAACTTTCCAGAATCAGATCATAGTCAGTGCTAAGCTGCAGCTTTGATTCTAAAAACAGTCCAATTTTTAGAGGTCAAAGGTCCCAATTACTGTAGCTTCGTTGCTTTATCATAAAGTTACATTCCATGTGATTCACTAGGGAAAAAAAATGAGAAAAAACATTTTCACCAAAAACTAAACACAGATTCATTACTATCTGATTAAAGTAGGCTCAACTTTCATATCTCCACTGAAAACCATACATATATACACTACAACACGGCACTCTTTGAACTCTTTAACAAAATGTGTTTGTGGTGTGTGCTCCAGCTACAGAACTGCAAGAGGATACGTGGTTTTATGAGTGTAAAACTGTAAACCTTTTAACATGGAGGCGTTCTGCTTCCTTGGTTGTTTCACCCAGACTGATCTCGAGCCAACAGATGCCTTCAATTTTTCTTGCTTTGGGATGAGGGTTCAGCTAAAAAGAACTCAATGGATCAGCAGTGTGTTTCTGCAAGAGTTCCTCACTGGCGTCACAGCCGTTAAATAATGTCAGATGAAGCATAGCGGTGCATAGGTCTGATTGGTTTCCTGGTCTTTGGCTTCAGCAGGTGAGGAAATTGATAAAACGTGCCATGGGGGAAAAATAGCTCGACACCAACGCAACAGAGACTATTGGGAAGAATTAGGCCAGGGTGTTTAATATTCAAGTCTGCAAGGCAAAATGAAGGACTATTGTCTAATCACACCATCTGCCCTTCCTGAAAAGCAGTGGGTAAAAGATTGCACAGGGGTCAGTGGGCCCTACGGGTGTTAATGTTAATGTTGACCATCAGTAAAAAGTAGTCTGCCTAAACTGTTTGTTTTTTTTAATCTATGTAATTGTAAGACTCTTAAAAGATTAACACTCAAAAAGTTACTACTACATATTATAAAATAAAAGGCTGCTATTATGAGTTTAAGATTTAAATTTCCTTTGGTATAACTATGAAAGTGCTGAACCAGATGCATTTAATGAGATCTCACCACTTTTATGATAACATAGGTACATTTCGCAGAACTTTGACACAGAGTGGCTCTTTGCATGGACAGAAATGCAGAAATGTCAGTTATACTTG